GCAGCGGAAGGCAAACACCTGTTTAAGCTGTACACGCCATTCAGAGTGTCTGTTCTGAAGGAAGGAAAATATAAATAATACACTGCGGAGCGCTGCTTTGGTTGAATAGTATCTGCACCAGTCGGGTGCAACGGAGATATCACTGCTTTAAAGGGCCAACAAGCCAAGGGCCGCAATGGCCACGGCAAGCAAACTCGGGGCAACAGCAGCGGCTGAGCCTGTGAGAGATGCCTTGATCTTGTTCCACTGCTCGTCCCTGTGTGCAACATACCAGCAGACGAATAACAGACAAAACTGTATTCGCATCCACAAGCGTAACCATCTACACAAGTACCGTTTTGCAGGAATTGGTTGCCAACTTACGTGAAGGGAGCTTCGTTGTCTTTAAGTGCTTCAGGTGTGGTCATGCACAGTAGAGCATAGCCTTTCTTCTCTTCCGCAGTACTCCGGAAGTTGGATGGTGAGTTGTCGGAAGCTGCCGGTCGAGTGCAGGTAACAACACGGCAGTCAGCAGCGGCATTGTTTGAAGGGTTGTACAGAGCAACAAAGGAAACGTTCTGCTGTTTGTCGTAGAGGTTCAGCTCGTTCTTCTTTGGCGGAGGGATTGTAGTGAAATTGCTGGCGGCGTCCTTCCAGTGGTTCACTGCGGCGGCGCAGTCGGGTGTCTCTGATTCCAAGGCCATGAAGGCGTATGTGCCACTGTTAAATCCATTTGATTCGCGGGACTCTTGTGGTTTTTCTGCTTCTTCCTGAGATGGGAACGCACCGATAAAAAAGCTAAAGAAGTGAGACAACCTGTAGTAGAGATAGAAAGACTGAGTACGGAGGCTACAATGAAAGACACATACTTCTATCAGAGCTTTACAAACAGGATCCCAGGGACTAGTGTGCGGCGAATCGGTTTCCTCTACTTCGGCTTTAGGCAACTGGTGTTCTCCGTCGCTGGCCTCTTTGAAGTGTGTCAGTCCAGCTTTTTCGCGTGCAGCGTTGATTTCGTCGAGGCACACACCAGCGGTGCCTGTAGAAAAACGAAGGATGCAGACATCCTAAGACCAAATGTACAAATACTGATACTTCTAAAAGTGTGTTGCAGCCATTTAATGCCATTCGACGGACTTCTTTTTTTCCAAGCACCACTGATCCTCCGCCGCAACTCATCGCCTCCAGTGCAATTGGTTTGGACCACCACAAGGCTGAAACCCTCCCCAGCAAACAAGTATTCGCAGACATACCAAGATTTACAGTGTAGGTTGCGGTTACTGCTCTCGTTGTCAATGGGCTTTGCTTTGCGTTTTGATGGACAGCGTTAGCCATCACGAGCACAGACGCAGAGGCGAGGGAAAAAAGTTTGAGGGCCGCCATGTTTACGGTGTAGAAATTGAATGTGTCAAAGAGGAAAAGAGAAGAAAGGGGGAAAATTTAAGCGGCTTCAAATGCAGACGTGCCAATATGCTGTGCAGTGTGCCTGCAGGAGGATGTGCCGAGGGAGCGGACTGGGACTGGCCCATACCGTCCGGCGTGGGGTCATTTTGCTTATTCGCTGAAGTTGAGTTTACGACCTCGTCGTTGTTAAAAATACTTCAATGAGGCAATTCAATAATTATTGTCTACACAGTGCCCCCTACCGCCGCTCAACGTGACGTGAAACCCCAGCGGGAAATCCTTGCCATTCTGGGTGAATCCGGGATGCTGAGGTTCGATGTCCCTCGTGCTCGATTAATGTTGTTCTGTCAATGTACCAACTCCTTATAAGGTAGTTGAGCCATTTATGAACCTTATGAGTTTGTGTTGCGTTGAAACTGTGTCTCGCCGCCCTCCTGGCCGTGGCCCAGGAAATGTATGGTTTTATGCTGCCCCTTCATCGGGGCGACTTGCCCTCCGTCGATGCTCTCACGTCTTCTGCGCCGGATTGCAGAAACTCGAAAAGCTACTGGAGGCCATCCTCCTATCAAACACTCCAGCTTCCCCTCTGCACTTCCCCAGCCTGAAATGTGCGAAATGCTGCTGGTCGCTAGACGTACTGCTCTCGTCCGCAACACGCATGCCTGCAGGGCTTTATGCATGCACACTTGCGCGGAAACACCTGCGCAGGGATGTGCCGACGCACGATGTGCTGGATAGACAACGGGAGAGTCAATATGGAGCTCAATTCCACCAGAAAAAAGAAGAAGTACGTAGGACTCCTGTCAGTGCAACAAAAGCAGCCGATAGAGGCAAGAATTTGCTGCCCATCGATATGAAAAGTGTTGATAATGCCTGTCAACTAGTGGCGCATGCAGCGCAAATCCAACAGGCACAAGCAGTCTATAGAGGGCGTGCGTTGAAAGCTTTCCATAGCCGCAGTCCTATGGATGCAGCGGGAAGAGAACACCTGCATAAGCTGTACACGCCAGTCAGAGTGTCTGTTCCGAAGGAAGGCAAATGCAAATAAAACACTGCGGTGCGCGGGTTTCCTGAATACTATCAGCAGCAGCTGGGTGCCACGGAGAGATCACTGCTTTAAAGGGCAACCAAGCCAAGGGCCGCAATGGCCACGGCAAGCAAACTCGGAGCAACAGCAGAGGCTGAACCTGTGATGGATGCCTTGATCTTGTTCCACTGGTCGTCCCTGTGTGCAACATACCAGCAGACGAATAACAGACACAACTGTCTTCGCATCCACAAGCGTAGCCATCTACACAAGTAGCGTTTTGCAGGAAGTGGTTTCCGCCTTACGTGAAGGGAACCTTCTCGTCTTTAAGTGCATCAGGTGTGGTCATGCACAGTAGAGCATAGCCTTTCTTCTCTTCCGCAGCTTTCCGGATGTTGAATGCTACGGGTCCGGAAATTGGCGGTAGAGTGCAGGTAACGACTCGGCAGTCAGCAGCGGCATCGTTGGAAGGGTTGTACAGAGCAATAAAGGAAACGTTCTGCTGTTTGTCGTAAAGATCCGTTTCTTCAGTCTTCGCCGGAGGGATTGTAGTGAAGTTGCTGGCGGCGTCCTTCCAGTGGCTTACTGCGGCGGCGCAGTCGGGCGTCTCTGATTCCAAGGCCATGAAGGCGTACGTGCCACTTTTAAATTCGCTTGAAGCGGGGCTCTCTTCCGGTTCTTGTGAGTCGTCCTGAAATGAAAAATGCACAGATATATGAAGAAATGAGACAGCATGTAGTAGGGAGAGGAGGACGAACGAGAGATGACGCGATGAAGGACACTTACTTCTATCAGGGCTTTACAAACAGGATCCCACGCATTGGTTTGCTGTTTCGTTTCCTCACTGCCTGTTTTAGGCCACGCTAGGTCTTCACTGTTGCCCGTTACAAAGCGTGCCAGTCCGGCGGCTTCGCGTGCATCGTTGATTTCGTCGAGGCACACAGCAGTTTGCCCTGCAGAACAGCGAACGCCGCAGACACTCTAAGCCCAAATGTGCAAGTATTGATGTTTCAAGAAGTGTGTTGGAGCAATTTAATGCCCTTGCCAGGATTTCTTCGATCCCGAGCGCCACAGAAACTCCAGCACAACTCATCGTCGCAAACGCAGTTACTTTGCGCCACCACAAGGCTGAAATTCTCCCCACCAAACAAATATTTGCCGA